TCCCCCAGTTGTGCCGTGCCCTACCCACGAACTATTATAGTTAAAAAACATTTAGGACCGTTTAGTTACACTTGATTTTTAGACATCCATCTTTAAAACGATGCTTTATACCTTTGGACCGCATATTATAGCCATGCAGTCCACCCCGCAAGGAACAATTCCCCTTATATTTAATGACCATACAAATGAAATTCATCACAGCTTTTTAAACGTGTTAACAAATGTGGAGAAAAGCAAGTTTGTAAAAGGTTTTTCCATAAAGTATTTACATATGTAAGTATTTTTATTAGAGTATATGTAAGAAATATTTATACGTATAAATCGTGCTTCACACTGTTTGGTTTGTTCAAATGCATAGGTTTCATTTCACAATGGACCCAATCGTGCTTCACACTGTTTGGTTTGTTCAAATGCATATGTTTCATTTCACAATAGACCCAATATTTTAAAAGATATCTTGAGGCTTAAAAATTATAGATTTTATTTCTTTTAACCCCTAAGCTAATATAAACATGTTTTTTTAGGCCAAACAAATTTAAAAAGACATGTCTTTTCTAAAAGCCATCCTCCCAAACTTCTATAGAGAGATAAGGGTTTCATGGAGGTAAGAGGTTAATGGGTATTTAAAAAAACACAGGAAGAGAGAGAGTGAGAGATGAGGAAGAGAGAGAAAGATAGAAATTTAGGGTATATAAGTGAAGACAGAGAAATGATTTAGTTTAGAAATATGTCTTTCTCACATTTGTTTAAGTTAAAAAATAGGTTTAAAGTGGCAAGGGGTTAGAAGATATCTTTTGAAACTTTGGGTTTATCGAAACCTAAAAATAAGGGATATAGAGATATTTTCTTTAAAATAAAATATTGGAAAAATTACGTACATATCCGTTATACTTTGCATTATTACGGATGTACTAAATAGCTTCCATTATTACATGTATGTCCATTTTTTACCATTTATAACACAATTTTTTAAAAAAGATGACTTTAACCTTTTTCGGATGTTGAACATCCGAAAATAGGCCGAAAGTATAACGTTCACATTCTTATTTTCGGGTGTTGAACATCCGAATTAAAGGGTTTTTCGGATGTTCAACATTCGAAAATAGCCCAAAAGTTAAACATTCACATTCCCATTTTTCATATTTCGCAGTCACATTTTTGGATGTTGAACATCCGAAAATGGAAAAACCATTTTCGGATGTCCAACATCCGAAACCATTTTCGGATGTTAAACATCCGAAAATATCATATTTTTTGGAATATGAACTTTTGGCACGTTTTCGGATGTTCAACATCCGAAAAAGTAAAAAAAAAGGTATGTATGTAATCTTCGGATGTTTAACATCCGAAAAAGGGCATGTATGTAATTTTTGGATGTTCAACATCCGAAAAAGGGTAAAATTATCTTTTTAAAAAATTTACGTTATAAAAGGTAAAAAAAGGACATATATGTAATAACGAAAATTATTTGGTACATCCGTAATAATGTAAAATATAATAGATATGTATGTAATTTTCCCTAAAATATTTTACCATGAAATACCCCAATGCAACGTAAAAAAAACTTATCGAGCAATG